ATTTTTTCTCTCTCTTTTTTTTTTTTTTAGGGTTATTGGGGGTGTGCCATTGGTAAAGCCAGGCAGGCTGCAAAAACAGAGATAGAAAAACTTCAGGTACTTTATGATGTTCTCTTTTTGGATGCCTAAAATGTGTAAAATAAGGAGAAGCAGGTGGAATATTTCCTTTTACATTTGCTAGTAAAGTTAAGTGAGTGAATACGCTTTTAATTCTGGTTGAAAACCAGAAGGCAGCATTGTATAGGGTGATGTATCTTATATTTTCCCAAAAGTTTTAGATGATCCTTTTATTTTACAAGTTCAGAAAAGTTGGTCTTGTTAAGGACAAACTAATCTGTGGAGACTAGACTGCCAAAAGGTATTGAAATGTGCCTTAAGCTGATTTGAATGATGTGAGAATCCTGAAGCATCTCCATCTTGTGTTTTAATATCTGACACCCTTGGAGTTGGAGACAACTTCACTCTTGGAGTTGGGAATCCTTCTCCTGGGCTGTCTCATGTACTGTTTATGTGATCCTTTGCTTGCTTCTTATTTTTTTGGTGTGCAAAGGGACATCATTCTTTTCATGGAAAAGTTCAGAGTTTAGATGATTGTTATCATGACTGAAAAATTACAGGAAAATTAGAACATTCCTAGACTTGGTTCAGTCAGTTTTGAACCTGGTGAGATGCTTGAATACCAAATTAAAATGAGAAGGCTGAATGATCATCTGGTCCTGGAATTGTGGCATCTGGGAAATCCTAATTTTAATTTCCATGTGTGCCCACTGGCAGTAAAGAGTGTGATATGCTGTATAATGTACTCCACAAAAATTAACTTCTACCCAAGAAGTTTAATTTTCAGTGCAGTGCTGAGATTTTCAAAAACTTCTGCTTTAGTGACTGGCACAGTTAATAGAGTGAATTGCTGGAACTCCAGACTGGGCAGGTGCTAATTTTGACAAGAGGGATTTGGTAAAGCTGAGATGGGGAAAAGACAGAAGTTCAGCTGTGACAAAACTTGGAGCTGTGTGGACACTGCTTGAATACAACTTTTTGATACATGGACATGATCATAATTAACTTCCATGATAAAACTCTTAAGAGTGTTTACCTTTAGTGTCTGCAGTGGGATGGCAAAAGGATGATGACAAAAATGAAATTCAGTTTTCTCTCTTGTACCTACACATGACAGTAGGGGTTATTAATGAAATACAGTAGAATATGTTACTGCTTCATAGTCCAGAAGAGTTGACTGGCAAGACATTTGACCTACCAAACATAGGTTTATTATGCCATAGAAATTTGCACCAGACTTTATTTTAATTAACTGTGAAACTGTCCAAAGTTTGTGATAGAACTGGGAAAATATAAAATGAGGTGCTGATACTTTGCTCAGGCAGCCAGTTGGTTGCTAAACAATATTATCCTCTGGAATGACTTGCACAGACAGGCTGAAAGATCCACTGTAGGGAATAAATGTGGTCCCAGTCTTCACTTTCTGTCACTTTTATCACCACTGAACATTAGCACATGCACAGCCAGTGATGTTCTGGCCCTGTGGAAGTGGAAAACATTCTATTCTCTTACCCTGTGTGTTTTTTGTCCCCAGATGAAGGAAATGACCTGCCGTGATGTTGTGAAAGAGGTGGCGAAAATGTAAGTCCCCAAGCTGACCAAAATCCATCCTGGTGAGCCTGCTGGGCTTTCAAACTGAAGCAAACCGGCACAAAAAATGGTCACATTTAATAATCTGCAGCTGCAAAACTGCAATTTCCAGCATTTTATGGCTTTTGCTCAGGTTATAAAGTAATAACTGTGCTCCTCTCGCTGGTGTTGCAGCACGTGAGTTGATTTTGGACTTTGTTTGAGGCTGTCACAGCAGGAGCTGGATAAAGGAATTTGTGGGATTTCTCCTCTTACAACCTTGCCAGGACCTCAAAGCCGGTCTAGAATGGCACAAATTAGACATGGCTTATCAAACCATGAAAACACTTCTGTCCTTTAACTCTGCCTCAGCTCAGAACTCACTTTAGTCTTTATATTTGTTTCACAGTGCTTTTATTAGACTTTAAATTGAAGTATTTAGTGTGGTGCTGCCAGGTATCCTTCCTTCAGTATCTCCAAGGTTTCTGTGTTGGCTGGAAAGAACCTGGAGGAAGATTCACAGGGAAAGG